CCGACCCAGGGACACCCCCCGTTCCACGGCGTTCCACGGCGTTCCAGCTGGAGCACCTGCAGACACGAAGACCAGGTGCCTGCTGACATTTCCACCGGCGGGGGAGGGGGGGGGGCACCCCAAGCCAGCAGCAGCAGCAACAGCAGGGGGAAGTTGCCGCTCATATCCGCACCCCATCCTGCCCCCACCACCGGGTCTTCTTTCATATCCTAGAGTGGAGTGGAGGAGTGGCTTCAACGTAATGGAGAGGGTCGGTGGCTTGATAGGGCCACCCCGACCACCGCCCGACCGCCCTGGCCGCCTCGGCCGCCCCGCCGGCAGTGCTGAATCGGACTGCGGCTGTGCCGCGGTTCCAGTGGCGCCTGCGGTGCCTGCGGTTCCAGGTGGGATGTCGTGTTGACTTTTAGCAGTGAGCGCGCAGAAGGCAGCGGCAGGCGAGAGCGGCTCCTCAGCTCCTTGAAGTCGTGGTTACACATCTCTCCCTCTCCCTCTCTCCCTCTCTCTCTCTCTCTCCCTCTCTCTCTCTCTAGCTCTCACAGACTCACACTCACACATGTGAGTGAACGTACCTACTCTCTACATGTATACATAAGCACCCACCTCCTCCACTATCACACACACACACACACACACACACACACACACCACAAACACACGTGTGAGGTGGAGAGCCAGGAGGAAAAAAGCACGCCAGCGGCTGCACCAGAATTTCCACCCTTTTTTTTCGACGAGCGCACGCTCTGAAATTTTTCCCGGTTTGCGACGGAAAGCTCTGTCCGCGGTAACCACGCCCCACCCCACTCCGACTACGCCCCACCACGCCCCGCCCCGCCACGCACGTTGAGCAAGACGGCGGCTGCTGCACTGTGCGGTTCGCAGGGGAGACAGCTGTCCCGGTGCACCTGCCATAAAGTTTCATTTTAACAACTGTGTTGAAAAATGCTGCCATAAAACCAGAGTGGTGGCGGAAAGGGGCGGGTCAAGAGGACGGGAGGGGGGGGGGCGTTGAGCTGCGCGGGATGCGGACTGACCGAGGTGCGAAATGTATGGAGAAAGGGGGAGGGGGAAAATGAGGGAGAGGACATTGGGTGGGAGAAAATAAAGGATGATAGAGGGAGAGAGAGCGGGACACAACTCAGCCATAAGTGGGGACGACTCGCCAACACTCCTGGCTTTCCAAGGCCAGTGCCAGTGGCTGTGCCAGGCCCCACCTGGCCGGCCTGGTCCAGTGGCCTACAGGACCGCGGTGAAGTAGGGCACGGAGTCTGGCCGAGGCCGAGGCCGGGCGCGCCCTGCGGCCCTGCGGGTGGCAGACCAAGGGCAGCCCCCCACGGCGCATCGGCCCCATCGGGCCCCATCAGGCCCCGTCGTCGACCACGGTGATGAGAAACTGGCCAGAGGACCTCCTCAAAGACGGGGCCTTCCGGAAAAACCTCCTCCTTTATGTCCGAGGGCGTCCGTCGAAGACGGCGGCCACTCCGGGCCGACGAGGAAGAACGGTCATCTGTGGCGAGTTTCGTCCCGTTCACTCATAACAACTTCAACTCTAGAAAGCTTGCTGTGGGATTTCGCAAAGATTCTTACAGTTTTGCGAAAGTATTGATTCTTTTTCGATGCATAGGTAACGTTTTCCATCTGATTTTCGGGTGTTTGATTTCTTAATTTCACGTTCCCCACGTTTCAATTTTAAATAAGGTAATTTTTAACCCTGGAAATTCCTGGAAGATTGCACATTTTGTGACTTTCCAACTTATTTTTAGCAGTCTCGGTTACCCCTTTTTCGTCTTGTACGTTCCAACTGCCCCTCCGCATAGCCACTGCTTCCCCCCTCCCCCCCTCCTCCTGCCGGCCATCCATCCGCAGCTTTGATTTCACGGTAATTGCTTGAAGAAGAGTTGGGCTCCCGCCGTGGGTAGACAGGTTTCCCCTCCCCATCTCTCTCTCTCTCTCTCCCCCGCGCCGCACGGCCCATTGGCTCGTCCCATATCATTAAGCACGCGTCTTAATTCTCGCCATGACTAATTGCGCGGCAAGGGGGACTGTCGAAGTTTCATGCCAAGATTGTTGTTGTAATGGAGTCGAATGCCGCTTCCCGGGGAAATTTACTGTAACGACGCGCCGTTTAGCAATCTGACGGCGGTGACGCCCGCGACGCGGGGAAAACGTTTACTTCGCGTTGATTTGACTGTGTTTCAAATCCAGACTTGCGTGACTGTACTCACGCAGTAGCCGCGGAAAATATTTTAGGACCCGTCTCAACTTTTACACGCTAGAGCTACGCCCCGCGGTCACAGCACGGTGTCCAAGTAATAACAACGAAAATCGATCTGGACACAAAGTAGTCCTGTATGCAAGCTGACCTCTATCCCCCGCCATTTTGAAGGAATAGCTCGACTGCTTGTATCTCCCGCCATTTTCGAGGAGTAGCCAACTACGTGTAGCTCGCCTTGCCGCTCTCGAGAAACGGGCCCCTTAAAGCCTCGCTGCAGGGAATGCCACTCGCGGCCAGTCTGGCGAGGCGCGCGTCAAACGCCAAGCAACATTTTATCCTCCGTAAATAGTTCGATTGGGTCGCGCTGCTACAATGTAGCACCGATGCCGAAAGGGGATGTGAACTCGTCAAACGCGCCCCGGCCCGGCCGAGAGCGCGCCCGAAAATGTCCCCGTGTTTGCCTCGGCCGAGCCTCGCGCCTCAGCAATGCAGGCCTCGGCTACCCCAATGGGTGTTTGGTGGGCGATTTATCGTGCTGACCCAACCCAACCCATCAGGCTGCGTGCGGGGCGGCTGTACGCTCCGCGCCGGCCGAACGCAGCAGGCCGAGGGTCGTTTTCGTCGCTCCGCCTCTCTCGTACCGATACGGTAGGTGCGAGAGAGAGAGAGAGAGAGAGAGAGAGAGAGAGAGAGAGAGAGAGAGAGAGAGAGAGAGAGACGAAAATGGTGAGTCTGCTGGCCGGCGCACCATCGGTTTGGCGCGTTCTTTGAATGGCCCTCGTGGGATTGGCCGTGGCGAGCAGCGCAGTGTGGCGACGTCCCCGACGAGTGCGAGAGAGACAGCGAGTCCTTTTGGACGCTGCCGTGATCATGGGGCCAAACAAGGAATAAACGGGTTAGGATTCAGTGGGGCACGGTGCGGAGGTGTATTGTGCCTGCAGTCGACAAAGGGTGTGCACTGCACTGCACACAGGGGGGCGCAGCGTACAGTGGGCCAGGAGACCGGTGGCGGCCAAATCTCTAGACGCATTTTGAGCTCCAGAGCCGTTAAATGGGACTCGAACCGAACGTGTGACCCCACCAATGGATTGCTCTCCGAACGAGGAATCCATTGCTGGGGTCACACGTTCAGTTCGAGTCCTGTTTAGCGACTCTGGAGCTCAAAACGTGTTTAGAGTTTTGTCCGCCTCCACCGGTCTTCTGGCCCACTGTGCAGTGAGCAGCGTGCAGCGTGCACTGCAAAACCCGAAAAGGGGTATTTGCACACTAAAAGTTGGTGCCATTTGGCGCTCCAAAAACTAGAGCGGACTACAATCAAATGCGGCCAGTTTCAGGGCAATCCAAATTTGGAGTGAACACACTTCAGTGTTGCAATAAAGGCCTGTTGCCCAGTCACCCTATCACAACTTTATCCTTCCAGCTGAGTGTGGATTGGAGCCACTATAGTCGAATCTGCCAAACCCAGAGCCCATTGTGAGTGCCGGGCGGGCGTGGCGTGTGCGGTACGGATGCCGTTCGCCGGGCTTAGCCCCTTTGTGTTTCGTTACAAGACCGTTATCCAGGGCGTTATCTCGACAAATTTGCGGCGCGAGTTTGCTTTATGGCGCCGGCCCCGGGCCCCCTACACTGCTTTACGCGCGATTGCCGCGATCACCGCCAAATCGTGCTGTTATTTCTCATACTTTGCCCCGTTCGTCCGCGCGCTCCATAAATTAGCGCGTTGTCGGTGTGCCGTCCGTTCTGCCTCGACAGCGAGCGATAGTAGCAGCGCAATGCACCCGGCGAAAAAAAAAGGCTTGGTAGCAGGACCAGCCATCCTCTCCAAAAATATGAACCAAATATACTTGTTTTGCGTTTGTTAAAAATAATTTCGAATATGCCTAAAAATGTGCCTTGAAACTCTGTCAAGTATTTCCCCAAAATTTCGATTTTCGAAAAAAAAAAATTGTACTGTACTCACGCGAATTTAAAACAATTCAGACTCTGGCTTTGTTTTGTGCCAAGAAAGTCAAAGACATTTTTAACGGCGTACCCACCCACTTTCTTGGCGTTCTTCCGGAGTGGTTTCCCTCCGCGGCGCTGCTGCATGTCGCGTCACTGAGCGTGGAGGCTGCTTCGCATAGCAGACTGATTTCCTCACTCTGTCTCTCTCGCACCCTCACGGGTCGCCCCACGAGTGCGAGAGAGACAGAGCGACGACTCTCGGAATCGGTCTGACGCTGGCTACACCGCCTTATGGGAGTCCCGCCCTAACGAGGTGGCCGTGCCGCAATCTGTTTCTCGTTCATGGCCTTCACGGCCTCCACGGCCTCCACGGCCTTCATGGCCGCATCAAGGCCGTAATCGTAATTAATTATTTGTGAGTTATAGGCTCCGCGAGTGGAGGAATGTGCCGTGGGTCACTACGCTGGAAAAGAGCGCGCCGGGAAAACGTAAACGGGTTTCAAGCCGGCGGCGGTGAAAACCTGACCAATAGGCGTAGCGCTGTCTCTCTCGCACCGGTCCGAACGCGCAATGAGTGCGAGAGAGACACCTCACCGCCTGCGGGGTAAGGACGGCCATGTCTCGTTTTGCAGTGCAGGCGGCATGTGTCGGGCCCGAATGGCATACGATCATGTGTGGTCTAGCCCTTAATGGTAATGGGTCTCGGCCAGGCCAGCCCGCCGAACACGGCAGGCCACCCGGCTGCCTATCTTCGACTTCACAGGCGGCTGTGGCGGCTGTGCCCCCGTTTTTTTTTTCGTAACAGTTTTCTTTTTGTTTTAATCTGTTTTGTTTTTGTTCACAGGCGGCCCCATGGCGGTCCCCGGGCTGTCCGTCCCGAGGCCCCCTGAGGGACCGGCCGGCCCCGCCGCTCTCGCCTCTGGCTCCGCCCCTGGCTACGCCCCTGGCCCCGCCGGCCGCCGAGCGCCAATATGACTTGGACGGTGCTTCTGGCCGTGTTGGGCTTCATCGTCCTTCACAATGGTAAGGACTCGTCTGTCTGTGGCCCGCGTGCGAGAGAGAGCGCTGCCGGGGCTCAGCGTGCTGCCCAGATGGCGGCCATCACTCCCCGCCTCCAGGATTCCGGAGTCCGGGGTGTTATTCACCCCACCACTAGCGGGCCGATGGCGTGGAGTGTGTGCCATGTTGTCTGGGCGTCCGGACCGTCGCCGGCGCGGTTTGTTTTCCCGGGAACACGATGGATCTGCCTGCCTGCCTGCCTGCCTGCCTGGAATGGAGACATCTCGGGCAAGTGCACTTGAGCCACGCTAGTGCACGGCGGGCAGGTGGACGAACAGACAGACAGGCAGGCAGGACAGACAGACTGGCAGGGGACGGTAAACGGACTGATGTGTGTCTGCAGAACGAGAGCAAACAAAGTCGCGACATATTTCCCCGTCCTTTGCTGCTCGGGTTTGGTTCCTGAACCGGCTTCCCTTCCCACACGCTGGGTGCCGCCGTGCCCAGACACGCTGTCGGAAAACGACAGCGGTCGACGTGTGCAAGTCAACCTGCCGGCTGATGCCGCACATTCGTCGCTCTGCCTCTCTCTCTCGCACTCCCGTGACGCCACAGTGCGAGAGAGACGGAGCGCGAACGCGCTATGGGATCAGGCTACCTCGGCGACTCTTTGCCGCTCTCGCGGCCTCACTCAAAATTCTTCGACGCGTATTTTTCTTTGACGGTGATGCACCTTTTAGCAGTGTGATGGGAATAAAATGGCGTTACGTTACAAAGCATGTCCGTGCGGTCTTTTCGGAAGCTTGGCCGCTGCGTGGCGGGGAAGCTCCTTCCTTGGCAGCACGTTGCTGGGCTGGGGAAAGGGGGTCGGTAGAGGGGGGGGGGGGGGGGGGGTAGTCACGCGCTGCGTGTCCGCCGCGGCGGAATGACCCTCGCGGGATGGGGGAACGGCCGTGTGACGCACCGCGGGCGCTGCACTTCGGCGACGCGACGCCGCGAACCCTTCGCCTCCACTTCTTCGCCGCCACTTCTCTGCCCCCGCTTCGCCACCCTGCTACTCGTCCTCCTCCACTTCTCCACCTCCACTTCTCCACCTCTACTTCTACACCTCCACTTTTTCGCCTCCACTTCTCGTCCTCCACTTCCACTTCTCCGCCTCCACTATTCCACCTCCCTCCACTTCTCCGCTCGCCTTTCTCCCCCTGTCTCCTCCCTCGGCTCGTTGATGTACGCGCTGACGATACACCGCAAGATGTGCCGAACACGACTCGAGGGGACACACGCGTAGGGATGTAAAGGCCGGTAATATTACCGGTAAAGAACGGTATAATACGGTAAAATACGGTATTTTACGGAGACCCCGGTAAAATTGGTATTTTTCGGTAATTTTGAAATATTGACTTATTTGCCCTTCTTTTGCTTCCACACGATGAATTGGGACGTAGGGACTGAAAACAGCGCCTCTTGAGAACTCTTGGTTTGTATCTGCCCCTCGCGCCGCCCCATGTACGTGTAAGACGTCATCTCTGGGCACTTAAAACAAAGCAAGAAGTCAATGTTCTCTTCTTTTGCAAAACTTGTGGATATTAAAATCTAACTACACGAGCCAAACCAGAAACTTCTTTGTTGCCAAGATAAGTATAATGTAAACTAACTTAAAACAGAAAATAGGAAAAAATAGGGGTAGATACTTGTTAGTTATTTGAGCTGAAAAATGCAATAAACATTGACATGATTGGACACCATAGGGCCGCCGGTGCCTTTCAGGAAATAGAGTCTTCATGAAATTGAGCCAACTTACATGGACAACAAGAAAAAAGAAGCCATTTTTGCACTTCAGTATATTTGGGCTGTTAATTTACGGTCAAAAGAACCAGGCAGAATCAAAATTTATTTACTAACAGGGAAAGTACACAAAATTCAGACATTAGGGGGAGGGGTCAGTAAGTCGGAGAATAGTTCATATCTTTAACCCACACTGTGTTGGGTCCATGTCTTTCAAAATGCGACGTTGTTCTTGAGTCATGTTGGCTTGGAAGTATGTATGAAACGATGTAACCGATACACCCTCACCCAAATGTACCTTTTCCCCCCTATATTCACAGAGGTACCACAATTACCCTTCAAAGTCAAGAAAAATCAATTTTACCCTATTTTACCGTATAATACGGTAAAATACCGTATTTTACCGTATTTTACGTAACTTTGAATCTTACCGGTATTTTTGCATCCCTACACACGCGCGCACGGAGCGCCTCTCTTCGCCGAGTGCCGGCAGTCTGCTACGTACCCTCACGGAGCACACTCGTGCGCCGTCGCCGCCTCAGCCGAGTGGTCTCCGCACCTGACTGCCGGGCGAAAGGTCGCGGGGTCAAAAACCAGCTCGTTCCTATTCAAATTTTTTTTTTTGCTGCCTTGTCCGCACGAAACAGTCACCATTACACGTTAAAAAATAACATGAGAGAATTAAAAACGTCCCCGAGTCAGAGTAAGCTGGCCCGACTGCACATGTGCCGATGTTTGTGAATCCGAAACTTCCCGTGTGCATCCCCTTCGCCACCGGCATCACTCTGACGTGAGATGAGTAGCAAAACCACAGCAGGAACAAGCGTGTTTTGCTCACACACACACACACACACTTGGTCAAGGCCAAGCAGGTCGCGGGCCCCACGCTTTGGTCGGTCCGGTTAGCCGCATGAAGCAGCAGTAGCAGCAGCGGCAGCAGCATCGGATGGTCCAGAGTTATGGCCTGGCTGGCGCTGGGGTGCGGCGTGCCCAGCCAGCCGCGGCAGCGTGTTGTATGTGCAGTTCTTTGTCGAATTAGTTTCCTTCTGCTTGATTACCGTTATCTCGTTTGGCCGGCCCAGCAGGCTGATTCCGAGAGTCGTTTTCGTCGCTCTGTCTCTCTCTCTCCCGCACTCGTTGGGCGCGCCGTGTAGTGCGAGGACGACAGAGCGAGGAAAACGACTCTCGGGATCGGCTGGCCTGGCGGACCTGACCGCATTCCGCTTCGAACCTGCTGCAATCTGCGGCCCCATCGCTCGGACCACCCCTTACAGTGGGGTGCCACGCGTGCAAGTGACTGCCGGAAAAATGGCCCTTTTCCCCTCCTGATATTTTTCGGCGCCACATGGAAAATGCAAAAGTAGGAAACGTGTAACGTCTCCAAAAAGCGATTGTCTGATCTCAGCCTTACTCGTCGAACTAAAATGTATTTTCAACAAGCACTCACACAATACTCGTAGAAAAGAAACATTATTTTGAGTGCGAAGTTGTAATGCAGTGGTCGGAGCCCCGTGAATTCACACACTGGAAAATAAGGCGTTTTTCAACGTCCGGTTCCTTATTAGTCGTTTGGAGTGTAACGTGGCCATCGCGCCGTCCCGTAAGGTTTAGAGAGAGAGAGAGAGAGAGAGAGAGAGAGAGAGAGAGAGAGAGAGAGAGAGAGAGAGAGAGAGAGAGAGAGAGAGCGGAAAACGACTCTCAGCCTGCAGGTTTCTTAGAACTTGGTGTGTCGGCACGCCGCTCCCAATTCATTCTCCTTAATGATGCGAGTCGTTTGCTCTAAATTAATTAAACTGCTTTGTCGCTCTTTGCCACGCCTCGCGTCGCCTCGCTTCGCTTTGTACGCACGGCCCGTTGAGCGTCGAGAGGTCGAGTGTTCTCGCGGACGCAGACCTCTACACGCTCCCCTCGGCTGGACAACCCGAAAAACCAAAAAAATCCAGAAATCCTGGAAAATCCGGAAGGACAGAAAAAAGTGCCAGTAGAAATAAATCTGCTAAAAAAGGAAAATTTTTAAAAAGATTGTTTCGTAGTAAGTAAAAAATGTTGCTGGAATCTTTAACACTTTGAGAGTTTTAAAAATTACATGAATACTAACACAATTTAATAAAGGGTTTGAAGTGGAAATGGTTATGGAGGATTTTTTTTAGCGAGGAAAAGTTTTGAAAAACGTCCTGAAACGGCTTGGCAGGCAGGCATCCTGCGGCCTGCGGCCCATGGTTCGTGCGACGGTTCGCGTGATCACCGCCAAGTCTTCGTGCTCGCTGCAGACCGATTCGGAGAACCGTATATATGTGCGCCGTCTCTCTCGCACTCGCGGGGCGTCCCCTTTATGAGCGAGGGAGACAGAGCGACGAAAACGACTCTCAGAACGAGTCCGCTGGCCAGTGACCTCGTCTAGATTGAAAATAGGGGACCGAGTGCCTCGCGACGGCGCTCTTGAGGCGTCCTCCAAGCGGTGCCACTGTAAGCCTTAAAAATTTGTCGTACTGCCCGCGAAGCGGGCGGACCGGTCCAAGCGCGCCTCGCAAGCTGGACTGTTTCTCGATACAAAGGCAGCTGTAATTTCACTTTCTGTTTCCTTTTTTGTTCCTTTTTTTCGATTAACTCTACCTTGCGCCCGAGTTCGATGCCCGGTGCCCCAAATTGCGCCCAGTTTCGAGTCTGCTGCAGACCGCCTGGCACAGACTTTCCTTTCGTCTTTGGCCATCCCACTGCTCCCCACGCAGGCCTACCTGCCTTGCGCGATTCAGTTTCAAGGTGCCCTCAGCCTCGCAAAGCCGAATGCGCGTGGGGCCCGGATTTCTTTTCGCGTATACCCTTCCCTTTCTTTTTCTGATGAGAGTTGATGTTGAAATCTCCCCACCTTTGAGTCAACCGGTGATGTGCGTGAGAGAGAGAGAGAGAGAGAGAGAGAGAGAGAGAGAGAGAGAGAGAGAGAGAGAGAGAGTACGTGTGAGTGCACGCGGATAAGTACAGGGGCGTGTGGTAACCCCCAAGCCTGCACCTCGAACACCATAATGGTCGTTACCCCGTCTTTCGTATTTCGCTGCAACTAGCGGCACACAGTTCGCTTTCCTGTCCAGCTTCTCCGCTTCCTACTCGTCCCCGCCACCAGACAGAGAGAGAGGGAGAGAGAGAGAGAGAGAGAGAGAGAGGAGGCAGTATTCCTGTCTTGCTAATTTGGCAGGCAGTATTGAAATAGCTGTGTTGCTCACAAAGGAACATCTTCCTCCTTG